CTGGTTTTTTGAAAGTTTGTAGGGGGCCGCTATCGAGCCATTTTGACATTTTGGGCAACACCCATCTGAAATATAAAATACTGCCATGTGGGACATGTGTGCCAAGTTTCATGAGGTGTTGAGCCTTTTTAATCTGAATATCTGAATATTGTCATGTAGATGTGTTTAGGGCGGGACTCTTATCAGACATGTGAAGTTTAGTTAAGATTGGACCTCGTACGCTGAAATTGGACGCCAGACCTCGGACACGCTGTTTGACGCACAGTCACCAAAAGCACAACTTTTAATCTTGATGGTGTTTACATCAAACTGACTGATTGAAATCGAGCTGATAAATTCCCTAGGAGATGTTTGTTAAAATACAATGCCAACAAAAAAAGAGAGGGAGAGGATGAGAGGAGCTCAGTGTATCATGGGAAATCCCCAATCCGGCAGTCTAGGCCTATAGCAGCATAACTAAGTAGGTAGGTTTGTAGGTGAGGAGGAGGATTTTAAATTCTATTCTGAATTTCACAGCGAACCAGTGCAGAGAAGCTAATACAGGAAAAATATGATCTCATTTCCTATTTCCTGTCAGTACTCGTGCTGCAGCATTCTGAATTAATTGGAGCGTCTTAATGGACTTATTGGGGCAACCTGATAATAAAGAGTTGCAGTAATCCAGCCTAGAAGTAACAAATGCATGGATTAGTTTTTCTGCATCTGTCTGTGATAGGATGTGTCTAATTTTTGTAATATTACGTAAATGAAAAAAGGCAGTCCTAGAGGTTTGCTTTATGTGGGAATTAAAGGACATATCCTGATCAAAGATAACTTCAAGATTAGTAACGGTGGTGCTGGAGGCCAAAGTTATGCCATCTAGATTAGCTATATCTTTAGACAGTGAGTCTCAGAGGTGTTTGGGGCCCAGTACAAGAACTTCAGTTTTTTAACATCAGAAAATTGCAGCTCATCCAGGTTTTTATATCCTTAAGACATGCTTGTAATTTAGATAATTGATTAATTTAATTGGGCTTGATTGATAGATATAACTGGGTGTCATCTGCATAACAGTGAAAGTTAATGGAGTATTTCCTAACAAAGACTTGGTTGCACCTCTGGTATCCATTATTCATGTTGTTCATGTATCACCCCCATCAGGCTAAAGTTGTACTCTACACAAAATACTAAACTTCATCATGCTGCCCAGAGAATTAACATTTTGCATTTCTGAATCACTTTTTATCACAGCACCTCCTTTTTCATCTGCATGCCTCTATAAGCATCCCTCACTGCTCTCAACTCCTTCCATAGTCTGCAGCTTTACCCCTCCTGCCCTGCTGTTATTTTTGTCAGACAAATGGGACTGTGCACACTGGACATAAATGGAGAGAAAAGGGTGACGTGGCACAATTGAGAAGGACAATTCTCATAAGCCATCAACAGCAAAACTTGAGCTTTTTACATGTTCAATCAAAATACTAATTGCTTCTGGAGTGATATTATTGTTACAGTCACTGGTGAGAAGACAAAGACAGAAGGAACCAATTGATTTTACATCCCTATAAAATGCAGAGTTGTCTTTTAATTGCTAAAATAATGGAGAGCAAATTGCGTGATAGCAGTAACTACCATGCTCATGTGCCAGTGTATCTGTCCCTCTGATTATAAATGTTATGCATTATTTATTTCTAATTGTATTTCAGACACAGGTGCAGCACTCATATGCATAGAATGCTGTAGGAATGAGTCCTAAAACCTGGAACTGATATAGCATGATTAAATGGTTTTTGGTTAGATATCTTAAATAAGGTCTGTGGTTAACATAAGCTTAAGAGATTGTATTTTTTTATTCTACAACAAATAATATATCAGTAAATACCCCACCTGTGAAAATGTAAGCTTTTATATGTCTTATATTGTGATTAGATACAAATGTCTAAATGAGACTTCTCTACTCATTAGTCCGTTGGTGGCGGTGGTGGTGACGACATTGAAGTCATGCAACCGTGGTGTAGTTTGCTTGTAGCCTAATGTTAGCTTTTTACTTCTGGCGATTGCATTTACTCTTCAAAACTCACGTTTGAAATGTTTATTACGGCAGTATAGCATATTTAGATTTTGGTGTCTAGGCTCTGACCTCATCATTCCCCCCAGATATGTTTACATAGAGATATTGGGGAATTATGCGCAAATACCTTAAACCCCTAGCTGGAGCCTACAGGTGGATGCTGGGGTGGTGGTGGGGCTTACAGCGCAGCAGGCAGCAATACCGATGCAGGGCAACAGCGGCATTGACAGAGCAGAGGGAGAGCTGGGACATTGTGCAGTTAAATAGACCACCAGATTGGAAAGATACGCTTGGTTAGTGATTATGGAGTGAGGCATGTCATGTGTGTATAATAGCGCAGCTCGAGTTGACTGCCTGAACTAGCTTGCAGGCTTCGCTCCATTGTTCATTTGTGAAGATTATCTTGCTGAACAAAATGTGTAAGTATCATAAACCTTTGTTTGCCACAGAGCTTTATTTCTGCAATAATCCAAAATCCAATGGCATTTTGTTGAAGGAGCCAGAGAGATGCTAACTTTCAGGTTGGCCAGTAAAAGTAAGTCATCATTGCTGCACTATATTCTCAATTAAGTGCTGATGGGGCCAATTTGTCTCATTCACCTTTTTTCAAGTCTCTTGTTGAGCATGAAACATTACTCTATCATTGGACTACAGCTCCACTTCTGCACACTCTGGCCCCCTCCAGCAGTAGAAACCTTTCCTTGGAAGACGACCTTGAAGTAGTCCTCTCAAACAAGGATCTGTTGACTCTTGATACTGTCATCCCATCGGAGAGCCAAGTATTGATAACTGGCTTTTCAATGCACCTAATTACAACTGCAAAAAGAAGCAGCTTGCTTAAAGGATCTCCCCAAGGGCAAGGTAATGAACAATCCCTATACCCTCTTCATATATCAATGCCCATCTCCTCCTCTCTGCACTTGCATATGTCTGACTGCTGGATCAAGGCTTTAAGGGGGTAATAAAAGACTTGGTTGTTCCCTGTGTGTCAGTACATGTCTGTCTGACCGATGCTGTTTGGCAGGCTGCCGTAGCCCCAGGGGGACCTGTTTGTCGTCTTATTAACTTGTCCAGAAAGAGAAAGCGGCAGATGGAGAGATGGAGGTCAAGAACACAGTACTTCAAGAAGTGCAACCTTAAAAGGATGGGGAGGAGGTGAGGGGGGAGTGAACAGAGAGACAGTGTGCATGTGACTGCAGGAGTTGAGGGATAAAGATGATTTAAGGATTTCAAGATACAGTCTAGTCTGTAGGCTGTTTGACTGTGGATTGTGTCTGTTATTAAGTTCCCTGCACTGTGGCTGTCATGTGCTGGATTAGAGGAAGGTCTTCAGTTATATGATACAACTAGGTGTAACGCCCATTAGTTACACACACAGGGTAATCCCCAATTTTCACAGTTTAACAATGTGTAGAGCTAGTAGATTTCAGATGTAGTTGCTTAGTTTTCACCAGCATTCATCCCACACAAACGCTGGTAGCGCCTTAGCTTCCTTGTTTCTTTTTCTGTTCCCTGTTTTTCCATGCACCGATGCAGACCAGAGCAGAGTTTGATAAAGTTGACAACTGCCTGTAAAGTCGTTAAAATTACAATTTTGGAGGAGGAGGGTTTTTCTTGTCAAACCTGACCATGTGGATATTGATTTTTATCGAGTGAAAACTCTGGTGAGTAAATGCTATGAACGATTAGTGTAGCATGCTAGCGATGTCGCCACGGCTACTTACTTGTTTATTTTATTGAATATGTCTCTACTGTGTATAGTTAATCTTCTGTGATAGTGTTTAAAAACCAACCGGAGACAGATAAACATGTGTGTTGAGCTCTGTTAATTGCGCTAGCACATGCTATACAGCTAAGAAAGCTGGTTGTTGAGCTAAAACACACGCAGCTGAGTGCACTTGAGTTTACAGAAGACAGTTCATTTCATTTTCTTGGGTAAAAACATGATCGAAAGTCATTCATTTCATAATTTGTGTACCTTAAGCTGTGATGAGTTAAAAACCATTCAAAAGTCATATACATAATTGTGTGTTGGCTGTTAAAAAGTTATTGTGCAGCTGTATATGATACTTTGTCATTGAATAATTCATGTTCATTGATTTAAGATAAAAAGAGTTAATACTGTACAGTTAAGATAAATAAAGAGATTAACGAGATGAATAAGATTTTATTTAAGAGATGCTACTGCTACTGCTCTATGCAGGTTGGTTTTTTTGTATGAGTGGATTCTGATGGCGAGCCAGAGCCTAGACTGGTGGATCGTGGAGCGGGACGCAGGCCTACACGCATGGAGGGTGTGATGTCAGCGAGTGCTTCACTGTGCATTGGAAAGAACACCTCTTCATACAGATAAGACATAAAACATAAAATCACACTACCCGGGTAGATGAACAATTACACAACACACTGAAGGTGAACTATTACACAAACACACTGAGGAAGGACGAACTGTGAATATTGACTTAATTCAGTCTTGACTTTTTCTTTCTTTTTGGACTCTTTTGAATTTTCTTTCTTGTTTTGTTTATTATTTTGGGCCCATATGTTCATAACTCCTACTGTGAGGTGTTTTGTTGTTCTACTAAGCGTTATTCAGTGTAATTTTCTGAGTTGTTGATAACTTCTGATACAAGAAAGGAATTTCAGTCATATCTGAAATATTTTATGTTTTGCACTTAAAGGTGGCACTGTTGCCCATAGAGCTATTTTTGTTACTACTCTTTCCAAACCGTTGTCCTGTTCCATCAATCCTCCTTGAACGTATCTATATCTTCTGATTTGGCCTAAATTGAGAGTAGATTAGATTAGATTAAATGATTAGATTAGATAGATACTTTATTCATCCCCAAGGGGAAATTCACTGTTTCCAGCAGTTTCCATAAACTGATAATAATAATAATAATAATAATAATAATAATAATAATAATAATAATAACAAGAAGAGGTCAAATTTAGAAGAATTAATAGAATAAAGTAAAATAAAAAGCTAAGTAACGAGCATTGGGTAAGTGTCCTAAGGTGCATGGTCAGATCCAGTGCTTGAAAGGCCTAAGGTGCATAAGTAGTGTCAGTCAGTCAGTGGTCACATAATGCAGGGTGCACTGCATCAGGTAGTATAGTTAACTAAAGGGCAGACATATTGGAGTTTAGAGTTTTTCTCCCCTGGGTGGAGTTGAAGAGCCTGATGGCGTGGGGGAGGAACGATCTCCTCAGTCTTTCAGTGGAACAGGACAGTGACAGCAGCCTGTCTCTGAAGCTGCTCCTCTGCCTGTAGATGGTGCTGTGCAGTGGATGCAGTGGATTGTCCATGATTGACAGGAGCCTGTTCAGCGCCCTTTGCTCTGCCACAGATGTCAGTCTGTCCAGCTCTGTGCCCAACACAGAGCCCGCCTTCCTCACCAGTTTGTCCAGACGGGAGGCATCCTTCTTCTTAATGCTGCCTCCCCAGCACACTACTGCATAGAAGAGGGCGCTCGCCACAACAGTCTGATAGAACACCTGCAGCAGTTTTTTGCAGATGTTGAAGGACGCCAGCCTTCTGAGGAAGTATAATCGGCTCTAACCTCTTCTGCACAGGGCGTCTGTGTTGGCAGTCCAGTCCAGCCTATCATCCAGGTGTACTCCCAGGTATTTGTAAGTCTGTATCAACTCCACATGGTCACTGTTGATGGTCACAGGTTCCGGGTGAGCCCTGGGCCTTCTGAGGTCCACCACCATCTCCTTGGTCTTGGTGGTGTTGAGGTGCAGGTGGTTGGAGTCACACCATGTGACAAAGACCTGAATGAGTTTCCTGTACTCCTCCTCCTGGTCACTCCTGATACAGCCCACGATAGCCGTGTCGTCTGCGAACTTTTGCACGTGACAGGACTCTGAGTTATATTTGAAGTCTGACAAAGTCTGACGGTCGCTGGCTCGGTCCCTAATACTAGCAGCATCACTTAACAGTAAGTCCACACTAAATCACATAGCAAAAAGTTTCTGCTGCACTGCTTTCTTGATGCTGGATTTTGCCACATTTTTTTTTTTTTTTGGTTTTTTCATTTACAAATTACAGTGGGTAAAATCTTATTTCATTGTAAAACTGCGCACAGAGCTTTGATGTCTCTCTCTCTCTCTCTCTCTCTCCATCTCTGTCTGTCTGTCTGTCTGTCTGTCTGTCTGTCCCTCTGTCTCTCTCTCTGTCTGTCTTTTTTTCTCTGTCTGTCTCTCCCTCTTTCTCTCTTGAATGTAAAACCACATACAACTAATGAGATTTACCTTAAACCTGCAGAATAAAATCTTAAATTGTCAGTATGGAGATAAACCTTCATATAACGAGCAAAACATTTAATAACAGGCAATTATTGTAATTTTACATAAATTTGTACGTAATTTAAGAAAAAAGGAAAGATACCGTATAATTATTATAGTAATTTTCTGTAAAAAAAATGGGAAATAACTGTAGTTTGTCATTATTGGTGTAACACATAAAATAACAGGCGGGTTGTTAATTTACAGATAATGTCTGTAATTTAACTGTTTTTTTTATACTATTTTTTTAAAAAAAGGGAAAAACTACAGCAAAAATGTAGAGTAATTTACTTAAAAATTATGACTTTTTAGAGTGTAGGTTTTAATAAATGTGCAATAAATATGCAAAATATTCATACTAAATATAGTGAAAGATGGTTACTCAGGTAATTTAGTATTGCACTTCCATAAAGTTTGGAGACTTGAAAGAGACAAATTAAAACGAATAAATGTCAAACTGGATGCAGCAGGGGAATAGATCCTGACTTTTTGTCATAGTTTTGGGTTGACTCGAGTTATTTCCTGTTTTATTTTTATATTGTCTCCTCCTCTTATGTCTTGTTTAAATTTACCCCTGGTCTTTGTCAGTTTTCCCTCCAGTTTTGATTATTTTTTTATTTTTATTTTTGAGGTTTACCTGTGTTTTACTGGTTAATTGACACCCTTTAGCTTTAGCATGTTTGTAGATGTATGTGTTGTTACTGACACCTACGGACATATTTCTTAAAGGGAGTTTGCCGTAATATATTCCCTGGCAGTTCAGAACACAATGAACAACTCATATTTTTATATATAATCCTGCAATAAACTGAGATTTATAGTGAAAGAGCAGCTTTATTGGACATGATTGGAACAAAAAAATATGAGGTAGAGAAAGAAAACAATGGGCAGATGATGCAGCTGTGCTGTTGCTGACTCGGAAATAAGGACATCTCATTAATGCCTGTTGCCTCGACTCAACTCTCCTCTCCTCGTGTCTCTTCCTTGCCTCCTCCTCTTGTATCTCAGGTGGGAGGAGAGGAGACGAAGGTCTTGTGTTTTCCCTCTTTCAGTTGTCATATCATCTTGGTTTTGTCCCTGTGTTTTCTTGTTGGATTGCTTTTGCATTTCCTGGACCTGTTTCTGTTACCTAATTCTCTACCGGTCTGCTTGTCTACCTGTACCTGCACCTGCCTTTAGCTATATTAAATCACCAAAGGCATCCTGCTGCCTGTGCAGTCTTGCATTTAGGTCCAATCTTCTTTTTCCTGAGACACTTGTAGACTCTAGTACAGCTCAAACTCCAAGTATTGCAACTTAATCACACAGGGGATGGCGTGGGTTGTTAAGTAGAGCTGTTGCAATCTATACTACAATACTGATATCATTTTAATAATACACATATGATAATATTGTGTAAATAATCCAGCACCTCTTAAACTGAAACTTCCATTTCCTTCCATTCTGACTTTGTGGTTCACACACAGTGTGACGGACCCTTCCTAGATCCTGCCCCATTTTGCTTTCGGCTAAAAAAGCTGGGGAAAATATCAGAAGGTAATACTGGGTCAGAACATCTCAATAGTAGCATGGTAATAAGGGAGCAACAATAGTTACTTTGCTCACATTAACAGGTTATGTCAGGTTACTTTTCTTTCGATAATATAAGGTCAATATCTTTACAATTAGAGTGCAGCAGTGGGAGTAATATGAATATAAAGTTATATTTTGATGATAAATGATGAATAGAGGACTAATAAAAATAACTGGCACCATTAATAAACAAAATGAAGCAATGATCAACAGATTTCTGGCAAACATAGAAGATAATGATGTGGTTGGGATTGGAGAATAGGTCAAATTAGTTGCATCATAACTTCATGAGAAGATTGATTATACATGGAGAGTTTAGATTGTGTAATTACGTCTCCGTTTTTTGTATTTAAAGTGTGCAGAGTGCAGTGCTGGAGGTTAATGAGAGCTGCTCTCCTGGGTGGGAAAGAATACAAAGTAAAGACTGTGCGAGTGGGAAGCAGAGACAGAAAAGCAGACAAACTAACCCACCACTGTGCACATCCACAAGCTCGGCGTCATCATTCTCCTCGCTGTACAATATATACTAAGGCCTATTGTGTCGTACAGATTATAAACAACTTACTGAATGTCATCTTTACTTTCTCCCTGCTCCCCACGGTGTACAGACCAGGTTTATTATCATTTGATTGTGATCCATTGGATCTCCACAGAGCTGCAGCACAACACTGAGGGTGAAAGGAAAGCACAGAAACAGCCCGCCATAGCCTGGCTGGATCTTTTATTCCCATTCCTTTTCCTTGTGACAGATAGGCTCAAGGGGGCACACAGAGGGATAAATGGGTTCTTTCAACTTCAATAATTCATTTCTATCTCCTTTTTTCTATAGAGGATGATGCAGATTCAAAATGAGGCCTGGTTGCTTGGTGGGCTTCTGACCACAGCTTAAAAAGCTGGAAATTCCCATGTGAAAAATGTGTAAGGACAACCAATGTTTGATTTTTCTGTTCTCGGCTACATGGTTCAACATGCCAATTCTCATGTAACAGTTCTTCAGTGCATTTTAGCAGCATTGAGCGGGTCCTCGCACTCCACGCAACTCGGGGCGTGCTGTGGCCGCGTCACGTGCCGTTGTAGCACGTGCGGACCACAACATGAAAATGTCATGTAAATCAGATCAAAATTGCCAAGCAGCGCTTACTTCCTGTTGGCAGTAGGTGGCGCTCTCAATATTACTGAATATTGTCATGTAGATGTGTTCAGGTCGGGACTCTTATCAAACGTGAAGTTTCATTGAGATTGGACCATGTACACTGAAGTTATGAGGACATGTACAGGGTGGGACTGTTACGGAATATGTGAAGTTTAGTGGAGATTAGACATTGTACATTGAAGTTATGAGTACTATCTATTTCATGGCGAATCAGCGAAATTCAATGCAACACCACGGGCACACTGTTCTAGGTACAGTCACAAATAGCACAACTTTTAATCAGCAAAATTTTTTAACTGTACTTACCAATTTTGATGTAGGTCCGATAAATTGCCTGGGAGGAGTTCGTTCAAATACAAGGCGATAAAATTAACCGAAAATGAGCACGGTATTCAAAATGGCCAACTTTGACGGCACGCCACAGACATGCCCTTCAACGTACATGCACAAATAGCACAACTTTTAATCAGCACCGTTTTTTGACTGTACTGACCAATTTTGAAGTAGATCCGATAAATTCCCTAGGAGGAGTTCGTTCAAATACAAGGCAAACAATTCACTGAAAATGAGCACGGAATTCAAAATGGCCAAATTTGACAGCACGCCACGGACACGCTCTTCAATGTACATGCGACCCAAGCTGGGTGTCAAGCGCACATACCAATGTGGAGAAATGGTCCACTTGCTTTTTTGACAAAAAATCTACAGGAAATGTTAATTTTATAGTGTGTGTATTTTTTTGAATATCTAAATTCTTCAAATGACTTTTTTTGCCAGGACGGTCCCCAGATGCTACGTTAAAAATTTTGTGCGAATCGGACAAAGCACATAGGAGGAACACCAAAAAGTAGTTTATGGACATTTTGCGCTCTATTAAAAAAATATTCTAGGCTGAAGTGGGCATGGCCTATATGGGGAGATTCAAACTACAAACTACTGGGACAAACTACGCAGAAGTTATTAGCCTAAACACATTTTTTATGATAGTAGCGCCACCTAGTGGCCAACCCAAAAGCGATGCATAGAATATCCCATTTTCACCAGGCCTGACAACTTTGCCAAATAAAATTGAGTTTTCGTATATGTTCAGAGTGGCAAAATGCAGTCAAAGGGGGCAAAAAAAAATAAAAAATAGGTAAGAAGAATTCTAGCAAATACAATAGGGACCTCCAGCGGTCGCTGGCTCGGTCCCTAATAATTAAACTGTAAGCTAAATTGTAATAAAAAATAAATTGGATTCGGAGAGTACATCATCAATTCGTCATTAGTTGCAGCCTTAAGGGGAGACATGGAAGGCAAAAACATTTTGGGTTATTTTGTTTCCACAACATGTCTTCTTTCAGACTAGTGGAAAGAAAACATCCAAAATACATGTTTCTACAACTCTCCCTACATCCCTATTTGCAAACTTTGCACCCCGAATTTGGACATTTAATTTTTCTGGGCTTTGAAAAAAACAGTTCTAATGCCCTTTGGTAGTTAA